CTGCCATGTGGTTAATGCTTGTGTAATGTGTGTGCTGCTCATGCTCTTCCTGCATATAATGTATTTATTTTTGCTATGTATATATAAATGTCATGTTCTTATATGTTGTATGTGACGGGACTACGGATGGAAATGAGCTCAAAGCTCAGATCCGGCTCATTTACACAAGTGTTCATCAATGTGCGCTGTCCCGGTTCAAATAAACAATTAAATAACTAAATAAATGCATGTCAAACTACAAATTAGGTGAAGGCAACTAACAGAACAGCTGGAATAGTCTAGGACGTTAATAACTTGACGTCACTTTACTGTAATGTAGCCTTTTAAACCAGGAAAGGACACGTATACTTAATTAAATATCAGAAATCCAACACAATATCTAGTCTTGTATCTTAATATCGGTATAATATTGATTGCCTAGCTCTAATTGGAACAAAACATAGGAAGGGAAGTGTTATTATTATTAATAATGTTCGATAAATAACGTGCAATTACGTAACTACCACTACGGTTTTTGCACTGCTAAATACTGCTAATATTTACATTCATTATGTGACTGTCTATGTTTCCTGCAGTTATTGAATTGCTCTTGTTACTGCACTGTTAGTGTACAGTTGTATTATTATGCTGCTGCTGTGTTTATTGTATTTTTGTAACTCTGGCACAACAATTTCCTTCGGGGTGAATAAAGTCTTATCGGTATAATATTGATTGCCTAGCCCTAATTGGAACAAAACATAGGAAGTTCTCATGTTAAGGATACAGCTGTGACCCAGAACCCGGGGATGGTCTTTGTGATGGATCTGCGCTGATCCAGATGTGGACGCCGCTGACGGCTGATCTTCAGCTCCAGCCGTTGATGAAGACGAGCGTTCTTCTTCTCCAGAGCCTCCAGTCTCATCTGCACCTGCGCCAGGAGGGCCACCGACTGCCTCATCTCCGGGGCCATCTTCACCGACACGATGGCACACTCCCCGTCCTCATTGTCCTCATTGTCAGACGGGAAAGAAGAGCTTGGTGTGGACGAGGATCCAGATATGGATTCATCTCCTTCGTCTGCTCCGGGCACCTCGTCTCCATCCTCCCTATCGGTGCTGTGGACGGATGTGGAGCTGTCTGCTGCCGCTGCCTGCGTTCTGGAGCCTGTTTTCGAGGACTGGTGGTGGTGGTGGTGACTCCCACGCTGTTTGATCTTGCTCCCCTGTTTCACCGGTTTAGCCTTTTCTGAGGAGCAAGGAGTCTCTCGGCTGTCTTCCCCGTCTCCTCTTGTGAGACTGGCAAGAGCTTCGGCCGCGGCAATGGCTGCAGAGTCGGTCTGATCCAGAGAGGCTGAGGGTCCTAGCTTTGCCCCTGCTGTTTTCTGTGTGTTTTCCTTAGATTCAGCAGAGCGTTGTGCATCTGAGGACTGTGGCTTTTCTGTGTTGCTTGCCTTAGGGCTGCTAGTCTTGGGGTTGTTGACAGGTGGTGCACAGGGGTCCTCTGAACCCTGCAGACCCTGCAGACCCTCAGCTGGTTTTCCCTCGCTCTCCTTTGACTGGTCCTCCTTCCTGGCTGTTTCTTCCCCATCTGCTTCACTGTTTTTGCAACTTTCCGAAGTGGCCCCCGCTTCCTCTAATGTCTCCGTGACTTTTGGGCACTTGCTGGGCACCTCGCTGCCTCCATCGGGCTCCAAACACCGTTTCCTGGACGCAGAGTCAGCGGACTGTTTGGAATCAGTCACTTCACTCATGCTAACCAGCTAGTCGAAGAGCTACCAAGCTAGGTAGCCTGCAAGCACAACTAAAAACAAACTTAATAATAAAATCGTGTGCACCACTGAACTTGTGCTGCGTAGGTAACAGCTGTGGTGTTATAACTCGGATCGTAGAGTAACCTACATCCTTCAGAACAGGAAGCTTGTTGTTTTTATCAGCGGCCTTGTGGTGAATTAGCAGGCTAATGCTAACTAGCTTACGTTACACAATTTGTGTGTCCTCGCATCGATGTTCGCTCCACATTTTCACGAATATAAGTCCATCAGGAAACACTCGGTCCACATGAACAACCCTTCCCGTGCCGTGCCGTCTTTGGAAACAAACCCGCGTTGTTTGTGTTAGTTTGTGTTTGCAATATCCGTTAGCCTACTATCCGTGCAACGACGTGACAGAAAAACAATCCTCTGATTGGCTGCAGGACGCCGCGCTAAAATGTCCCAGCCAATCAGCGACAAGGGTGTGTTTACACGGTGATAACTGTAGCAGCGGTTTAACTGCGCAGCAGCAAGAGCAGCTAGAATGAGACCTAATCCTAACATGAATTAGTACAAAAACATATGTAGGCTATAAGCCTATATATAGCATTACACTATATGATGGAAGCTATGAAGCCATAAAGCTATATGATTGAAGACACCAGAATTGCATTGTACATGTTGTACTCAAAGTCTGCCTCAGTGCATTCAAAACGTAGAGAAAACCCCTGCATTTTGCACCCTTATAATGTATGTAAAGTATATTTTGTTTATATTTGTTTATTAGTAATACGTTGGTCTATTACAGTGCATTCGTAGCTATTCCTTATTTATTTATTTTCTTATATTTTACAGTATCTTTATTTATCTTTCTAGCCTATATATTTACTGTTTGTATATTTTAATTATGTTGCAGTTGCTGCCGTTTTACAAAAGAAATACAAACCAAGAGAAATATTTAAAATACAATTAAGATATAAGTATATTAAAATATGTACATTGTACTACAATATATAACAACAACAATTATAGAAAAACATACATATAGGCTATTACAATACTAAACTCCAATATAAATGAAAGGGAAATAGAAATGATAAATCTGTCAAAATATGTATTTGTATTTAATGTTTTATTTGCCTACAAATCAGGAATATTTTAGAAATCGATTAAGATTAAATTATGCTAATAAATTATGTTTGTTTGTCACCCTGCAACCAACACATAGCCTATATATTGCCTTTATATTAATAATTAAATGTGCTTTTTGAGATTCTAAATAACCTATTAATCCTGCACCTGAAGGTGTCTGCAGATGTTTTATTAATGTTATATCATTTTAAAATGGTGTCATACCTGAGAAAGGCTTACGATTGGCTGATATCATTTTACTTTTATATCCTATTTCCAGTAGTGGGCGTTCATCCAGCCTAAACCAAAACAGAAGAGGGGGGAAGTCGCAGGATTATACCATCTCTAAAGACACATTTGGGGCATGGAGAGCTCTGTAGGTCAGCGCTAAAATTAGAAGCTTTCCTTCCGCGACAGCAGCCAAACTGCGGTGCATAAAGTCATGTAAACCGGGGGATACTCTATCACAAGGGCTGGCAGCAAACACATGTTTCCATGGGTGACATTTAACGCTGGGACTAGAGAGGCTCCGTGCGTAACAGGAACAGCACTGGATCTACTGCTGCGCAAATAATGAGCATTTGGTAGTGATTTTTGTATTATTTGGAGACGCCATATGTACACAGCTTCCATGCGTGTCTGCAGAAATGTCTTTTTTATCCATACCAAGCCAGGAGGGCCTTTTCACCACCATTAAAATCGACAAATCTGCCGTGAACGCAGAGAGACACTGCATGGACGACGATGACGATGATGAAGACGATGACAGCGAAAACGTGCACCTCATCCCCAGATGCTCCCCGGTGCCCAGGAAGAGAGGCCACTCCATTTACGATGAAACCGCAGAGTATTTACGCATCCAATTGGCGCTGTCCGTGTACAAGAAGGTGCAATTCGCCGACACAACAGGTGGGGATCTAGTGGATGTGAAGGAATTTGTTGCCTTTGACTCGGACAGTGAAGAGGAGAGCGCACGGTGGGAGGAAGAGGAGGCAAAGTATAGGAAGCCGGAGAGGGAGCCCACTTATCATGTGCACCCAGAGTTCAGTGCGCCAAGCGGGGGGTCCCTGCTGCAGGCTGTGCAAGCGAGCAAAGTGGAAGTGGAGCAGATTTCCCCAGCAGAGGATGAGCCTCTTGCTTTCAGTGGTCTGATCAGAGTCCTGAACGTGTCTTTCCACAAAGCAGTGTACATCAGATCCACCATGGACAGCTGGGCGTCCTACTTTGACCACCCTGCAGAGTACGTGCAGGGCTCTAATGATGGGAACACTGACCAGTTCTCCTTCAAGCTGTCCTTTGCACCTCCTTACATCACTCACGGCTCTCGCATTGAGTTTGTTGTGCGCTATGAGACGTCTGATGGAGACTACTGGGCCAATAACTCCCACATGAACTATGTGGTGACTCTGCTCCTGTCCTACGAAGACGAGTTGGCTCAGAAACACACCGACATGCAGCAGTCAAGAGGTATCCTCAAACCTCCAAAAGCCTACAGGTAAATCTGCTGTCACAAGTGTGCTTTAATCTCACAAACACAGACCAAAGAAGGCTCATTTTACAGAATGTGTGCAGTATTTGGGCCTTGATCTCTGATCTCCACCGATTGGTTGGTTGTGAAGTGCCCAAATGCTAAAATAGGCAATCAAACGCACAACAACTCCGGAGTTAGACCCAGAAATCTAATAAAAAGCACTGATTTTGTAACAGGTTCCATTTTAGATGAGTGAAAGGCCACACACTTGTAATTCCCCTGAATATCCAATTTCAAACACAAAAATCAATTTCTTATCACCTGTCATCAAAACACCTTTTTCCTCCTTGTGTGAACACTGGGAATACACTTTTCTCTTTGATATAAGTTCCATATTTGGTTTACTTTGGGTTATGTTGGTCAATTTCAACCAATACAACTCAAATGCAAAAATATCAAATGAACAACAATAAGTCATTACTTTTGACATATTTTCAGTCCAAAGCTAATTTACCCTGATCAAAAAACATGAACACGTATCTTATTAGAACTACCCTTTGTGCATCAATCATTTTTACAATTGTCATTATTTACAGTGAAATAGTGCCTTCAAATCATGGAGTGAAACGTCACAAAGCACCTGACCTCAGAGCAGCTGCAGGATCCTGTTGCTGACTAACCCCCCTGGTGAGGGTTTTGAAAGTGAAATGAGCATCAGCTTTGTTCAGGGGATCTGCCTGGAGACTGCATTCAAGACGAGTGGGATCTCAACAAAACACACTTACACATCATCATATTCAGAATCAGAAATCCTTTATTTGTCCCAGCAGTTAGCGGCAAAGACAAAGTGCAAACAAAAGGTAGAAAGGCTGTCAGGAAGTCAGATTTTCACAACATGATTATCCAAAAGAATTAAGGATAACGAGATAGAGAACATCAAAAGAGCAACACTGCCATCTATCAGAGTCATCTTCAATTTAGTGTTTAGTCTCTTGTCAATGGGTGTCTGTGACTTTACAAAAGCACTCAAAAAGAACATTTCTACTAATGGATGATGAGATTTAAGAAGACTATTTACATGTGTTTTATCAGTGTTGAAAGTACATTTACTCAAGTATTGTACTTCAGTACTATTTTGACATATTTGTATTTACATATTCCCATTTAGGCTACATATACTTCTACTATAGAGGTATATATTGTACTTTTAACGACACTACATGTTTTTAAAACTCATTGTTGCTGGTTCATTCTTACTGTACGGTACCATGAACCTACCTAGAAACTAACATTGGCTCAACTTTGACAAACTACAACATGATAGATGACGCAACATGTATTTTGTGATATAAAACACAATAATAATATTCAATTTCACTCAAATACTGTGAAAGGAGCCAGTCTGCAAACTGAGTACTTTATCTTATATATACTACTTGAAGTACAATTGTCTTACTTTTACTGAAGTTACATTTTCAACGGCGGACTTTTTAAGACCATAGTATTTATATTTTCTCTTAAAGGTCCCATGTCATGCATTTCCGGTTATTACCCGTCCCCTTGTGTGTTATGAAGGTTTTTATGCATGTAAACGGTCTGCAGAGTCAAAACCCTCAAAGTACACCCTGTAGCGAGTAAAACTCTAACACAGAAAATACCTCCCCAAAACGCCTCGTTGGAGATACGTCACTGTCCATTGTTTATTCCGGGTACGCATGATGTCAACCGTACCCGGAACGAAATGGACCAATCCGTGGAGCTGTTACGTTACGTCCGCGGAGCCGTTACGTTAAGCCCCCGCTGATTGGTCCAAATTGACCAATCCACGGACTTCCTCACACACACGCTCAGTGCTCTGCTGATCTCTCCTCCCTGGCTGCAGGCTGATAACAGACAGTTGGGATCGCGGCGAAATTCTCTCTGCAGACCCATTCTCACAGCGTTTATCAACCTTTTTCTTACTCAATATCAAGCCACACTTATTGTTTTTACGTCGGATGTGACTTTGTGTGTGTTCAGGGTGAGTTTGGCTGTGTTTCGCTGTGTATCGCTAAACAAGGAAACCACACCTCCACGGAGCCCAGGGCGATTCACAACGTCCCGACCAATCAGAGCACACTGTGCTCACAGGGAGGGTGGGGGCTGGAGCTATTGGAGCTACAACGAGCCGTTAAAGGCAGAGAGTGAAATTCAGTGAATACACGTAGTTTACAGAGATGCTGTTTGAGAAACCAATGTGAGTTTGGAAAATTGCACAATATAAATCTATTCTAGTAGACCTCAACAATGGAATTATGATCAGTTGAAATGGCCATGACATGGGAGCTTTGAGTTAAAGATCTGAGTACTTAATAATAAGATAAGATAAAAGGTACTTTATTGATCCCAAATTGGCAAATGTTTGCGTTGCAGCAGCATAAAACACAACAAGGCACATAAGCAGAAATTAAAGAGTAGAAATAAACAATAGTAGAATTTAAGCATCTCAAAATAGAATTAAAACAACATTAAGAAGTAGAAAACATACAGGAGACCGTGAAGATTAAAAAATCTATAAACTTGTATCGCTGAGCTTAATTGCACCATGGGTTTATTATTAACACGATATCAATGCTATATTTTTCACGTATCAAATGTACGGAGTGAATTTATGGCCGGTGTTTGGGCGTCTGCAGAGAGAGGGGCTTTTGGAGCGAGTTCACTCACAGAATGCCAATCATCCAGTGGTGTGTGAGGCGATGAAAATAGGCGAAGGGCAGGTGTCGTTTTCATACTGGCGCTCCCCGACATTCACCCTACGTACCTCTGACCTTTCTCTCAGAGTCCTGGAGGAGCACTGATGACTGGCTCCTCTCAGGAGGGGTGCTGCTTTTACTTTACTGCGTTTGAGAGGAGGGGGAGTCAAACGCTTTGTTTATCGTCACGTCAACATGAACGTTTAATTAGCAGAGTAAGGATACTTTGAAAGGTACCAACCACTTCACACTACAGCGGAGCCAACTCAGGGACACATATCGTCCGGTTGGTAAACATCTCCTCAGAAGAAGTATTTCAAACTGCTTTGAGAGAAACATCTAATTGAAAATGCACAGGTGATTCCAAAACACAACAGCAAAAGGCTCATGCCATCAAATCATGTGACTCAATTGAGTTTATTTAAAAGAATGCAAGCTTTTCACAGGTTAGGCTTTAAAATTATATGCTTAGTTTATTGTTATATCAACATGAAAGCGTGTTAAACATCTCATAATGCACAGAGACAGCAGGAAGACCCACAGGCTTATGAGGACATGTGGATGAATACGTATAGTTTTAAGTATAAATGCTACATTGTAGAGTTAATACATGTTTGTTTGTAGCCTTTATTTAACCAACTAAAAGCTTTCTTCCCTAAGACAGTCCTAGCACTTGGCACATTTAATAAAACAACATCATGAGATCTCAGGCAATAAGTACTTTCAATTCGTCGAGAGATCAGAGAGTAGATATAAAAAGGTAGTTTACCCAACATGGCTTTGTAGATAAACATGTACCAATGACTGAGCCTCCGTACAGTTAGTGAAGGCAGACCTGCCTTGGCATACAGGGTACAGTCATACTTGTCAACCCTCCCGATTTTCGCGGGAGACTCCCAATTTCATTGCCCTCTCCCGGTTTCCTCCCGGGGTCATATTTCTCCCGCATTTCTCCCGATTTCTGACAAAATCAGATTTACTCAGGACTGTTTCCACTCGGACTTTAATACAGCTACACCATTGTTTGGTTTCCATGGTAACACGTCTATTTAGTAGCAAGCGCAACTCAAAGTCTGAGAGGGTGAGGAAGATAGTCACAGAAAACAGAACAAGAATCGACAACTACTCTACTCTCTGCTCACTCCGTTCCTGCCCACACATATGCTCCATCCAGGATGGTGCTACAGGCTGCACTTACAACTACAATAACCATGTTAATGTTAATCTACAGCTCCGGCGATCCAATAGCACCCCCACCCCATTTACACGCAAACGCATACGAAACGCAAACCAACCGATATCAAAAAAGTCTTCCGTTCACAGACCGCTCGGGAGCGCTGTAGTACATAT